GGACACTGGTACAGCTCACTGGTGCAGACTGGTTCAGGACACTGGTACAGCTCACTGGTGCAGACTGGTACAGGACACTGGTACAGCTCACTGGTAGGGCCCACTGGTGCAGAGTGGTACAGTACCTTGATAGAGGCTCGCTGAGAATAGGGGGTACAATTCTGGTCATGATGTCACAAAAAATATGGCTTTAGAGATCCATCCAAAGAAGAGCAATCAGATACATTCTTGGTCTTAAAGGCATATTCTACTCTGGCAGGATGAGGGGACTGAATCTCTTTAGTCTTGAACAGAGAAGACTATGGAGGGCCTGATTCAAGTGTTCAGGATCCTCAAAAGTACCAGTTAATTAACTGGAGACCTGGATTCCATGCTGCCAGCCTATAAGCCTGCCACTGTAAGAGGGAGGGCTGACTCCTCCCTCAGCCCCAGCCCAAGCCAGGTACCCACGTCACCCAGGTCTAAGAGGCACCTGCGATCGCCGTGGCAACGGAGCCAAAGCGTCAGCGATTCCTCCCCGAGGCAGCGGAAGGCGGGAGAGAGAGAGTGACGAGCGATGGAGGACGGCAGCGAGCTGCCTGGGCGTCCGAGCGGATGGTGAACGGAGTGGCCACCTGCAGCTGCCCCCCAACCCTTTGCTTGACCATACACGTCCAGAGAGAGGAGGCTTGGGGGTCTCAAGGGGTATCTAGGGGGACAGTCCCAGCTGTTTGACTCAGGTATCAGATGGGCGTGTGTTGAACGCCCTGTCGCTGCTCTCAGCGTGGTGTCTCGGCCTCACCTGTGACCACAGTTAGCCCACTTGCCCACTAGGGGGCGCACAGCCTCACGAAAGACACGGCGGGGTTCCTTCTGTGTTTGACGGAGAAGAATCGAAAATTTCACATTCTCACATGTTTGTATTTAAGGCTTGTTTTTTGTGATAAAATGGGTGGCTGGGTTTTTGTTTTATGGAAGATAATAAAGAGTCTGGAGCCGCACCCCCCTGGACATCACACGATGGGCCGTGGGGTCTGTCTGGGGACAGAGTCTGTCTCAGTTACAAGCTTAAATTGATCCCTGTGTGATGTCGAACAGTTTCCTCCAGTCTCGTTTTGAAGCACTTACTCTGCTTCATGGAGCTGATGTAATGGACTGACTGAGCCGGTCAGGTACCCAACCACCCCTGGACACAAAATAAACATGAAAGGCCAGCTATCACTCCTGCTGGACTCTCGCCTGCTGAACTGAACCCTTTACCGAATCAATAACGTTTTCCTTACAAATATTTTAGCTGAACCTTTTTATGCAAAAGCAATTTGAATACAATTCCCACCTGTGCCTTGGGCTCCTTACTAAAAGCTATCTGAGCAGATCACAGTGCTACAGTAGCTGCCCTCCCCGATTCGAGCCAAAATTCAAGTCAGGCAATACCACTGTCCCTGGGAGACACATGGGCTTGGCTATCCATTGTGATGTCACACTCTGTCGACCATTGTGACATCACTTTACCAGTCTGGGCCTTGATGACAACTTTAGCACCACCCCACCTCCCTTCAGAAAATGTAATCCTCCTCTTTCTGGAAGTGACAAGTTCCCCCTCTTCTAGAGAGGAAGGACTACCTACAAAATTCCGGCACACGCTGTCCACCGTAGCCAGGTGGCCCAAGGCTGACCAGTTCTCTGTCTCGTCTCTCCTCCTGGACCACAGCGAGTGGCGGCGATGAATGGACAGGACTAGCCTGCTTGGCGGCTCCCTCCCCTTGCGGCGCCGCCTGCTGGGCGCTCTGGACACGCTGGGCAGGAGGAAGACGCACCGCTTCCTGGCCACGCTGTTCCTGCATGAGCTGGCCAACGTGCCGCGCCTCAGCGGCATCCTGTTCTGCAAAGTGCGCCTGCTGGAAGGCAGCTACGCGCAGGAGTCCCCCCGGTGTGTGGCAGGCTGGTGGGGCGGGGCAGGGCGGGGAGGGGTGGGGTAGAGTAGGGAGGAGCTAATGGGGAGGGGTGGGGTAGATTAGGGAGGAGCTAATGGGGAGAGGTGGGGTAGAGTAGGGAGGAGCTAATGGAAAGTGATGGGGTAGAGTAGGGAGGCGCTAATGGGGAGGGGTGGGGTAGAGTAGGGAGGCGCTAATGGGGAGGGGTGGGGTAGAG